ATACGCCGCTACACATGTAATTCACATAACACATAGATCAAAGGTTCCAATTCTCTTAAATTAAGATAAGACCCAACACTTACCTCGCTCCTCAAGCATATCAAGGCTCAACCCGGGCCTTTCCTCTAAAATCCGCCTCCAAACCAATCGAATCTAACCAAAATCGACTCAATAGCATCAAATAATGTTAGGAAAAATCAATTATAATACATAAAGTTAAGATCTTTACACTTTTCCCAAAAAGTCAACTCCGAGGTCGCTTGTTCAAAACCCGATATTCAGACCAAAACCTAATTACCCATTCATCCCGAGCCCAATTATGTAATTCGTTTCGAAATCCGACCCTAATTTGAGGTCTAAATCCCAAATTTATAAAAATTTTCAATTCTTCCCAAATTCCTAATTTTCTACCATAAAAAAATATAGATTAAGGTTAGAAATTAATGAGTGTTGATGGAAATGGAAGAAAACAAGTTAAAGTACACTAACCTATGAAAGGGTGATGAAATTTATTTTCAAAATCGCCTTTAGGCCGAGCTCTAATGAAAAGATGGTGAAAATGGGTGAAATTCCGTCTTTGGGACATTTTAAATCACTAGCGTCAGGTCTTCTTCGTGTTCACGAAGCACTGGCCTAAATGACTTTCGCGTTTGCGAGGTGTTCTTCGTGTTCGCAATGGTTCTTACCCCCTGACCATCACGTTCACGACCCACCAATCGCGTTCGCGTAGAACACAAGCCAACTCCCCCAAAATCCCATAATACTTTGCCTTCGCGGAGGAACAAACGTGTTCGCGAAGGGCAAGCCCCCTTCACTTCGCGTTCGCGAAGAGCAACTCCACCCCAATCCCAACCTACTTTTCGCGATCGCGGAGAAGAATTCACTAGACACCAGTAGTAGCCAAACCGGCAATTTTTCTAAGTTCAAGATTCATACGTAGCCTATCCGAAACTCACCCGAGCCCACGGGGCTCCAAACCAAACATGCACACAAGTCCAAAAATATCATACGAACTCGCTCGCGCGATCGAAATACCAAAAAAATGCCTAGAACTACAAATCAGATACTAAAACGTATGAAATTTTCAATGAAACTTAAGAACATGTAATTTTTCAACCGGACGTTTGAATCACGTCAAATCAACTCCGTTTTGCACAAAAATTTGCTGACAAGTATAAATACTGTAATGAACTTATACCCAGTTTCAGAACTAAAATCCGAACCCGGTATCAACAAAGTCAACTTACGGTCAAACTTAGAAATTCTTTAAACCTTTAAATTACTAGTTTTCAACAATTCACGTTAAATCAAGTTAGGAACTTCCGAATTCGATTCCGGGCATACGCTCAAGTCCCAAATCATGATACGAATCCACCAGGACCGTCAAAATATTAATTCAGGTTCGTTTACACAAAATGTTGACCATAGTCAATTCAAATGAGTTTTAAGGCACAATTTCATATTTTCATCAATTTTCTCATAAAAACTTTCCGGGAAAAGGATATGAACTGCACACACAAATCGAATAAGGCTAAACAAAGTTATTGAGGTCTAGAATTACATAAATAAAGTAAAACTATAAATAACCTATCGGATCATCACAGAGACCGTCTCGTGGTGCTCCGAATCCGAATCTAGATCCTTGTATTGGACGGGTGCTAATATGGAAAAAGTAAAAAGATGGGAAGCTTTTTGTGAATTTAAACCTGAGGCAGGCTTTTGGCTGTGTTGTACGAGAAGGGGCAACCTCTAGGCTCTAGTTGCTTATATTGTGTACTCCTGTCACACAGACATCTTTGTCCTGCACTTGTTTTTAATATTCAAAGATCCAAATTTCTAAGAAGACGAATGCTCTATATTACAAAGAGGTGAACCAAAATTGATTAAATTTTAAAATTATATATATTGGTTTAAAATTTATTCTTTTTACCTTCCTTAATCCACTAATGAAACTTAATGGAGTATCAAATTAAAAATATATATACAGCTTAATATAATTTGATCTAATGCATTTTGCCAGATGTATTATTATTGCATAATTTATGATACATTTCTTGCTACTTGCGGCTTAAGAGGTCTTTGATTTGAACTCTACGTGAAGTCGCCTTTATGGAGTGGCTTTACCTCATAATGTTGACTTTTCAGCGCGAGTTAGAATTTAATCTGATACCAATATAAGTACCCGATATTAAGTGAAAAACCCAAAAAAACAAAGAAAGAAAAAATCCATCTTAAGCTTTTGGTATAACATGATACTACTGTCTTTTAGAGAGAACAACCAAACAAAATTAAAAGATTTTTTTACTTCATAACAAATTGGTAAAGTGGGCACATCCTGTCGTGAAAAAAACTTTGTTCTTTAAGACCAAATATTTTAATTTTTTTTTCCTTTTATAAACTCATGCTTAGTAAACATAATTACATAAAATGTAACGGATAGAGTATTTCTTAAAACTAAATCAGATCCTCTCAAAAAAAGAAAAAGAAACAAAAAATCAGCCCAGTTTTTTAATATGAAAGCAAGTAAATAAATAAAACGTTAATCATATGAGTACTTTAATTTCTGTTCTCAACAAATCATTTCGCATAAGATTGGTGTGGCCTTTGCTACATCTCATCATTGATGTGATTATTCAAATAAAGTTGATCATTGAACACCAATATGTAACATTGTCAATATTGCTGCCAACTTTTTTTATAACAATTTATTATTGGAAAAAGCATACGAACAAAGCTATAAAATGCCAAAATCAGTCTAGCTAGTTTTGTTGGGTTGCTTACATTGTCCAACCAATAATTTGAACAGTCATTAAAATTTATTTTAAACAAATTCTAAAGATAGATTAGGCATAAAGTAAGATGTTTAATGTCGAAAATCTTTCACTTTCTTTTTTCATATCTCTTTTCCCTTTTGTTTTAAATCTAGGATTTTTGTATCAAATTCCCTCCTAAATTTAAAATTTGCTTCGAGACACTGAAATTGTCTCTATTCACTTTATAATATTTATATAAAAAAATATAAAGTTCACTGTAGTATTCATAATTACTGGCAAAAGTTTATGATTCCCAAGAAAAAAAGAGACAAAAATTATATTATATAAATGAAAAAGACAAGTTAAATATTGCAATGACACCTTCCATTCTCTTAGTGGGGTCTCATAGCAAATCTTCAGCTCATTCAAAATACAATAAACAAAGTATAGTATAATAAGTAGCAGAAACTTTTGGTGAATTTCGTGCCAAAACAGAAAACGAAAATAAATAGAAGGGACAAGTATTATTAACTATAGGCTAAGAAAATGTAGCAGTAATTTGGGACATGAATTTTGGAGTGTAGTAGCTTTAGCACATCGACACTCTTCAAATCCAAAATCTTTATTTTTCTTTCATTTTTACTTGGGCGCTGCAGGATTTCAAAAAACTCAAATTTTTTGGCTCATACGAGGTAATCTTTTACTCCATCTGGTCAACAATAAATAATTTTTTAGCTTTTTTTTTTTGTGATCCAAAAAAATGATTTTTCTAGATTCAAAAACAAACTAATTATTTTTTTCCTTACATTGCCTTTAGAGTAAATGCTGGTAAAGTGTTTATGTGAAGAGATAGTAAATATTAATATGGTCAATTTTATTGCTAATTAATGTTAAAAGATAAATTTCTTAATCTATGCGAAAACATTCAAAAAATCACTTATTGTGGACCGGAGGTAGTAATATATCTTTTAGTTATATATGAGAATCAAAGAGTAGAAAAGGTAAAGGCGCATTGAAATTGATCTCACCAATTGTGTGAAAATTTACACATATTATTAGAGTAAGAGCTTTTATGGTTACATGGATTCTTTTTTATAATTCAATAATTCAGAATTTAAAGATTACTTTTCGACTAATGTAAATTTACGGAGACTAAGTTAGAGTTTAGATATAGATTTGATTGAAACTATATTTTTTGGAAGTTAGAATTGCGTTTGGACATGCATTTTACCTGAAAAAATTTAAAGTTTTGTAAAAAACTAATCTAAACCATTTTTTGAAACTTGAAAAATTCATTCAAAAATTGCCCAAAAGCTAGTTAGTTTATTTATAACCAAACAATATTTTCAAAAGTATATTTTTTAAAAAAAATTATGACTAAAAGGGAGCTAAACAAGGAATAATATATTCCCTATAAACTAAGTACAATTATAAATATCTGAATTAAACATGAAATAAGCTCAATTATCTTATCACATGCAAATGTTTGCAATTACGTATTTGCTATATTCTATAACATACTCCATCCGTTTCAGTTTATGTAAACCAATTTTCTTTTTAGTCCGTGACAAAAAGAATAACACATTTTCTTATTTATAAACAATTTACCTTTATGCAATGATTTATAACCACACAAAATATATGTGCCTCATTTTACATCACAAGTTCAAAAGTTTTTTCTTTTTTCTTAAACTCCATGTCAATCAGATAGATTCACATAAATTAAAACGGAGGTAGTATATATATATATTTTTTTTGATTTGCTTGGAGAAGGAAGGAAATTAGATGGAATGAGGATATTTTATTGTACTTCAATTGGTTCTGTATTAAAAAAATGTTTCACTTCATTACCTTAACAAAGTAAGATAATTGAATTGACGAACTACAATAAAGTGATTTCAAGCGATCACTTTATGTTTCAAAATTCGAAAACTTAAATAATTCAAAAAATTGCAAGAAGCACACAACAAATGAAAACGTGACTCTATATCAGTAAATTAAATTTCATAGTGCATTTACTACTTTCTCTATACATCTCTGAAATCAATGTAAGTAATAAAGTACACTTAACTTATTAATAAAACAATTCAATTTATCATAAGAAAAAAGGAAAAAGAAAACTTCGAGAAAGAAAGGTCAAGGTCGATATTTTCAGAAAGAAACGAGGGCATTTGCGTGAATAAAAAAATCTCTGAGTACAATTGAATATTTGAATTGATTGTGTTTGACACAGTAAAAAATCTGCAGAGAAAACTTTAACATAAAAGAAGAAAGAGCTAGCAGAGAGAGAGAGAGAGAGAGAGAGAGAGAGTAATATATTAGCTGTCTTCTTTACCTGATCGTTTCTTGATATCTATATTTCTGTGTGAAAAACAATGTTTCTAAAGCCTAAAAGCCAGTGTTAAACAGAATCACTGCTGAAAAGAAAAACACTGATATTGGAAAAGCACAGCTCATTCATTCATTAGCAGAAATTATCGATTTAAGGGTGTGGGACAACTTTGAGAAAAGCCCTTCTCATTCATTGTCAGTTTTCTCCGATTCAGCTCTCTCAGGTCAATAATTTCTTGTTACATAGTTTCAGCTAATGGGCAGAATGTTTGTGTTTTTTAGCTGCTTTTTGATGTTGAAAGCAGAGCAAAAAATTGAATGAATAATAGAGATATATGTATGTAATGTATGTATACATTACAGACAGCTAAGACCCATCACATTGTATCTTCAACATCATTATCCTTCAGCCCCAAAATCAATTGATGAACTATTCGTAAAAGTACTGTTCATTTACTGCTCTCGACTTTTCTGTATTGATATTGGAATTTTGTAGGTTGGGGGAGGTTCATTCTACGATCTGAGTGCTTTTGGGTTTTGGCTTCACTTTTTTAACCAGCTACAGGTCACTGAAGACTTCAACTCTCGTGTCATTTCAACGATTTTGGGTCGTCGTCTTTTAGCATTTTGGACATTTGGGATGCTTTTGCATTTTGTGATATGAAGTGGCAGAGGAAAACTGTTACAAGTACTGTTCCTATTCCATTATTAGATTCTGAATTCCACGGTTTTCTTGCTTTGCAGTATTCCATTTTTAAACATAAAGGGGAAAAAAGGGGTCAGCGTTTCAATAGTTTTTCTCATCAGGGGAAACAGCTCATTTCTTTCAGCTGAGGCTTTTAGCACAAATTTTTGACTCTTGTGATCTGAAAAAGCAGCTTATAAAAGAACTCCTTATTTGGTAACCCTTTTGGCTTTGGTGTTTGTGGGACATTATCTCTGTCCTTTGCATTGTATTTTTGCAGAAAAATCATTGCGTTCAAGTTTTGGTGTTTATACACTTTTGAGCTATTTTTGCTTCTAAATTTGGAAAAAAAGAAGGGTGAATCTTCTTTCTTTTAGCTAAAGTTTCTTGACAAATTGACAAGGCTTATAGGGTGAAGAAACACTGTGATAGAATAGTGGCCATTTTGGTGTGTATATGCATAAAGATCACAACTTTTTTGTGGGTCAGTTTAGTACAATAATGAATGCTTATATTGTTTTCTTCTTGTTGTTTGGAGCAGACATGAATTCCATGTGGGTTCTAAGATCTGGTATCTTGGTATAGAGAAATAGTGTCATGTCTCTGTTGATTTGAGTTCAGAAGTTGAAAAGGCAAAGGAAAAAAAGAAGCATTGTTGTTGTTGTGATGAGTAGGGAGATGAAAAAAGGAAAACAGGATATGAGTTCTGATGCTGCTGAGAAAATGATGGTGGCTGTTAAGGCTTCTAAGGAAATACCCAAAACAGCTCTTGTCTGGGCTTTGACTCATGTTGTTCAACCTGGGGATTGCATTACACTTCTCGTGGTTGTGCCTTCACAAAGTTCTGGTAATTTTGTTGTCTGTTTTCTATTTCTTTGTTCCTAAAAATGATCACAGTTTGGCTTGGAATTGTGCACACACTGACGCACTAGCCGCTTACTTCTGTAATAGGTGATTGAATTGTTGGTTACTACTTCTGTAGTAAGAGAGAAACTTTTTGGCTTATTATTTGTTTCTGCTCCTCTGATCGTTGACATTATGGAATTCTTTGTTTGTGTGAACATTAAATTTTTTACGGATACACCTAGATATTCTCTTTTTCCTGGAAATTTTCAAAGATTAGCTTTCACTGGCAATTCTAAGAGTGGGAGGCAGCAAAGCTTAAAATTTACTCTTCCTACTAGGAATTACTTTACGCAACACTGATTAGTTCATTGATGATAATTCCGTTTCTTGTTCTTTTCTGCACTGCTTTTTGAAAGGATTTTCCATTTATTAATTTTGTCCACTTGATGTATTGTTGTTTTCGTTTGATGCTGTTTCTGTGCTATCACCAAAAAAGACCTAGTGGAAAGTACCTTTTAAGAGTTTTGCAATAATTTTTAGGTAGGAAGTTATGGGGTTTCCCTAGGTTTGCTGGAGATTGTGCCAGTGGCCACTGGAAGTTGCACTCTGGAAGTAGTTCCGAGCACAAATCCGACATAACAGATTATTGCTCTCAGATGATCCTTCAGCTCCATGATGTTTATGATCCCAACAAGGCAAGGCATACAAATTCTTCATCTCCACTGTTGAGACACCATTAAAAAATTTGGTACTAAACAATGGTTCTTCTTGTTCTCCTCCAGATAAATGTCAAGATTAAAATTGTTTCTGGTTCACCACATGGAGCTGTGGCTGCTGAGGCAAAGAAGACTCAAGCTAGTTGGGTCGTTTTGGACAAGTAATTTTCTGCAAGTTTTAGAGTCGGATGCCTTGTTTAAGTGATGCTATATTTTCAAGCTTTATTACATTTGCTTCTTATTGTTTGAATTTCTCTAGGCATCTCAAACACGAGAAGAAACGCTGTATGGAAGAGTTGCAGTGCAATATTGTAGTCATGAAGCGATCTCAACCGAAAGTTCTCCGCTTAAATTTAGTTGGCTCACCTAAAAAGGAACCTGATGTGTCAGGCACGTTATCTTCTGAGCAAACTCAAACATGTGGAAAAGAATCGAACAAAAAGGATTCGTTGGATTCCTCTCGAGGTCCACTAGTAACTCCAACAAGTAGTCCAGAGATGTTCAGTATGACTGAAGCTGGTACTTCATCAGTTTCAAGCTCTGATCCTGGAACTTCACCATTTTTTATCGCTGAAGTAAATAGGGATATAAAGAAAGCAGATTTGTTGGCTGCTAAGGAAGATCAAGATGTAGATGAATCGAGTTCAGAGAGTGAGAGTGAAAATTTATCTGCGTCATCAAGTTTAAGGTTCCAACCATGGATGGTGGACATGATCACTTCACATTCTGAACTCTCGCAAATCAAAGGCAAGAGCTCGTTGAGAACTCATGACAGGCCACAAGATTCCACAAATAAGGCATTGCTGCGGAAGTTTAGTAAGGTTGATGAAGAAGGTGATTTTGGATCCCCGAGTTACAGATCTGATTTGGATTACAGTGGGAATGTAAGAGAAGCAGTTTCGCTATCTAGAAGTGCACCTCTTGGCCCTCCTCCCTTGTGCTCAATTTGTCAACACAAGGCACCTGTATTTGGAAAACCTCCTAGGTGGTTCGCTTACGCTGAGCTGGAGCTCGCAACCGGAGGATTTTCACAAGCCAATTTTTTGGCTGAGGGAGGATACGGATCTGTTCATAGAGGAGTCCTTCCGGATGGTCAGGTTGTTGCTGTTAAGCAACACAAATTGGCAAGTTCTCAAGGGGATCAAGAGTTTTGCTCGGAAGTTGAAGTGCTCAGCTGTGCTCAGCACCGAAATGTTGTAATGCTAATAGGATTCTGTATCGAGGACAGCAGAAGACTGCTAGTATATGAATATATTTGCAATGGATCTTTAGATTCTCATCTATATGGTATGTGATACTCGTTTTTTTTTCTTTCTATCCTTGACAGCTCCAATGAGTGTGATAATACTTTCTTTAATCAGTAAATAGACCTCTATCTAGTTTCTATCCTTGACAGCTCCAATGAGGGACATTCTAAGATCTTGATCTCCTTTCTAGCTCACTTTCTTGTTTTACTAATTTGTAATTACGTAAGGTGAATTTGTATCTGCATCGCTTCCCAACTTTGATTACCTTGCAAATTAACATTGGGTTGTTTTAGACGTACAGAGCATTCAAAATTTGTAGATTTTCCTTTTGCTTTGTGAATCTAAAGTTGATCTCATATGATATAAACTTGCACTTGATAAAATTTATATGGGAAAAGTTTATGAAGAGGTTTTGGTGGTCTGTTCATTTGTCTTCAAGGTTAATTCTTTTGTCTTTTATTGTTTAAAATCACTTTCTGCTATTCACAGGTCGTACTAGAGATCCTTTGGAATGGTCTGCTCGTCAAAAGATTGCTGTAGGTGCTGCCCGAGGTTTACGTTATCTTCACGAAGAATGCAGAGTGGGCTGCATTGTCCACCGAGATATGAGACCCAACAACATTCTCATAACCCATGACTTCGAACCACTAGTATGAAAATCTCTTTCTCCTCAAAAGTTTAATGATACACATTACTCATGGGTATACCTTTTTACTTAATAGAAAAGTTTGTGATGAAGTCTCCATTAGATTTGATTAATACTATTAGTCGCTAAATATCAATACCTACTGGACTATTTCAATTGCACATCCTGGTTGATCAAAAATTATTTTTTTTCTTATTCACCTTTCTCTTTACCTTTTCTTTTTCCAGGTTGGAGACTTTGGTTTGGCCAGGTGGCAACCTGATGGCGACACAGGTGTCGAAACGAGAGTAATTGGAACATTTGGGTAAGCCTCGAATGTCTGGTTTATTTTGATGTTGTAGTATCGAATAGGCTAATTTGTGGAATGTAGGTACTTGGCGCCGGAGTATGCCCAAAGTGGCCAGATTACAGAAAAAGCTGATGTTTACTCATTTGGAGTGGTACTGGTGGAGCTTGTTACAGGACGCAAGGCGGTGGATCTTACCAGGCCTAAGGGCCAGCAGTGTCTCACAGAATGGGTATATATTTAGTTATCTTAGTTGCAGCCATTTTTTGTGCTGACATGAGGAATATATATTTGGAGATAAAGGAAAGCGCCCTCCTCCCCTTTCATATGTAGCTGATATTGTAACTAATTTGTATTAGGCGCGTCCATTATTGGAAGAATGTGCGGTTGATGAGCTAATAGATCCCCGGCTAGAAAACTGCTACTCCGAACATGAAATATACTGCATGTTGCATGCGGCATCTTTGTGCATACGGCGGGATCCTCAGGCCAGGCCTCGCATGTCTCAGGTAATGATACAAAACTCGTGTATTCATTTTTCACAATCATGAATGCATGCAATGGCAGATATAGCATGCAACCAACACGTTTAACTTAACAAGCATTTTTGACACAACATATATATAGATGTGGAAAATCACTAAAATTTCAAAAGATTGGAATTCTGAACTCATAATTTCATATGTGAAGCAAGTTAGGTTCCAAGAACCTTAAGATTGAATTCATCAAGTTTAAGTCTTGGATCCAACTCTAGTTGCATGTTGCATCTTTGCGCTTTGATACTTTGCCATATATATTGGGGAATTCTCATGTTTCTTTGGATGTTGTGGTGAAGGTACTGCGAATACTTGAAGGCGACCTCATTGTGGAATCTGGTAAACTGTCAGCAACACCTGCTTATGAAGTTGGAAGCCAAAGTGGAAGAATTTTGTCAGATTCGCTGCAACAGTACCAAAGGTTCAGTGGTTCTTTGTTGAATGATGGATTAGAGGGCTTTAGTGCTAAGCTCTCTTTTGACAAAAGGAGCCCCTCAAATATTTGGGATAGGAATCAATCCAGGACAGCATATTAGGACCATCTGTAAATTGCTTCATATTGACATTAAGATACATTTGCTGGTTTATCAGGTCTATTAGCCAGGCATTTTTGTCATATCTTGTATAGAAGGTAAGCGTAATAGCAGTATATGTTTTATATTTACTGGCTTGTCCGCATATTTTGTATTTTAGGATTTAATGAAAAACTGGTCATCGTACTCGATCCTCAAGTTGTTTATTCGTGTAGCTCAAAGAAAAGAGCTCTATTTTCATTGGCAAAAAAAGAATCTGTTGTCGCAATCTCTGTTACCAGCTTGCCTACATATTTATATTGTTTCGTTCCTTCTGTTGTTAAGATAACAAAAGAGATACAATTGTACTCCGACTCAACCACAATTGCCAATCCAAAAGGTGATATTAACCATGTATGCCAAAGTAATGTGATTTGTTTCTTGAAAGAACAATTAATTGATTGGTGAATTTCTTACAAGGAAAATGCTCGAAATGTTTAGAACTCTATAGTTCCCTCAACCCCCACTATCAGGGAAGAAGACTGAATAATCTATGCCCTGTTGTAATTTTGTACTAATCAGAAACCTCAGAATACTGCTACTAAAACTAACGGTCCTGTTCAATAACCCATAGCTAAAATCTACAACAACACATAAACATATGTCAAGGCAGTTAAGTCTGCAAAATCTTGCATTCGCACTTCTGCCCTTAAAGCCAATACAAAAAGCATGCAACTGCTGGTCCAGGCCAAAAGAGCAGTCAGTTAAGTCAGTAACCATTGAAATGCTTGTTTACCATAAGATGGCATCTAGGGCTTTCTCATTTTGGATCTCGCATACCTGAATAGGAAAGAAGGAAAATATTAGCAAAAGCACAACAAGAATGTAAACCTCAGAATATACACGCAGAGCATGATCAGGACTGAGAAGAATACTCTATGTGCATGCCACCCCGATCAGAAGATGGTAATGTGCTTCCTTGAAGAGCATTCAGCACTTTAGTTGCTTGGTCAATGCCCTAAAAGGTAAAATATAAATATATAACTGTAGAGGTGGATTTAGAATTCCAAGAAGATGAGTACACTATTACAAAGAGGTGAATTTAGATAAATTAGTTTCACTTTTAAGTCTTTGACCTGATAGAAAATTTACAGTTTTGCTGTAGCCACACTGAGAAGCTGAGAGGAGTACCTGAAAATCAGCAAAAGCAACAGGCATCCCGCCTCTTGCACGCACCTTGAGGGTGTTAAATCCAGGATACCTGACAGGAAAAGCAACATATACTGTCAATTATAGGTAGCCTTTAGCAAGTTACTTCAGGAGATGGTACGTATGAGAGAGAAAAATGTCTCAAGTGTAATATTGCCATTCTGCAGCTAGGTACAGGGAACCAACTTTTTAGCCATATGAACACTGTGTTGTCAAGAAAGAACTGAAAGAGAACACCCTCCTTTGCAGGAGTTATACAGGAACTTACTGAGAAATAACTTGCTTCAGTTCATCCTCAGTGCAATTTGGACCAAGATTGGCGATAAACAGAGTGGAACATGGTTGTGCACCATCTGTTGTCTTCTCGCTTTGTTCCTATAGTGTCCAATCCAAAGACGGTAAAAGTCACATTGGTCCATGCATTAATTGAAGAGCACTTGCTGCATAAATATAGTGAAACTTTTGCTTGGAAGTACAGAATACTGATTTATATGCATTACATTTATTCCAATTTTCAGAATTTGAAGTGCACACTTTCAGAGATTTATCTACTCTGCTTGCAATGCATATGTAACAGTCCAACGTACAACACATGCTACAGATAGAGGGTAATATATAGGCTTACACTTTTCACGGCCAAAGCATGGTCAGACTCTACCACTTTCTCTTCACTGTTTCACAATATAGAATAATAAGTCTTCCATGACACATTAAGGAAACAGACCTCAAATAACCATGCCTTCATAAGTAAATTTAGTTTGAGTATCAAGAATGTTTGACCTTTTCTCTTCCGAAGGATCATCATTTGTGCCAGAATCAGGATTGTCAGGCTCGGAAGCATCATCTGATTCAGTATCACCTGAATAAGCAAACAATGGTAACATGTTATGAGTCTCACTTGAGAGAAATTGGACATATGTGCGAAATACAGATGTATTTGGGCATCTTAGAAAGGTTTTGCTTTTGGTCAAACTATAATGTGTGCGCTGGAAGTATATAGCAAAGATCAAGGCTAGTACCTTCATTGCTTGATGTGTCTTTGGCATTTTTGGACTTGGTTCTGTTGTCAATAACTACATAAGGTCCTTTTCCTGAGAATAACCGTCTAAAATGAGCTAATATAAGCAATAATCATAAGAAAACAAGAACTGGAAAAGAAATTTCCCATTTTATTGGATATCCGATGGTATGGGATGCAAAGAGTTTACGAATATCTAATAACTATTAAAAATTGCAATAAATTTATACCCGGAACTTGTACTCTTCTAGAGTTTGATCTCGCCAGTTCAATATGCAAAGTCGATCCTGTTTGAGGATCAAATTCTACACCCTGGAAATGGGATTGGTAAAGGACCAGAAAGATACAAAATGGCTAAACTAATAGCAAAGCAAAAGTTGAATGTCCAAATGAGCCTCAAGATAGGTAGCTATTTATTAGGAATCAGCAAAACTAGTTACTGTGGTCATGGCTACATTCAAGTAAAAATATTAGAGAAGCCAGATAATTAATCTGTTTTTAAATTGAAGTTAGATGAATATGCGATCAGAAAGCTGTCTTCATGTCTAATGATTTCCATATTTTTTAAAGCAAAGAAAACAACCAAATATGTAGTTTAGAATGTTTTCAGTTTTTATTTTAATTTGACAGCTTTCGTTCAAGATGAGTATTACGGACTACAAGATAACAAAAATAAGCATAGAATGACCTCTGGTATTGTTTGTCAAAGTTCTACTGCTTGTATGGTAATACAAAACCACCACCACCTCCTCCACTCATATGTGCTTTTGAGAGAGGGAGAGAGAGAGAGAGAGAGAGAGAGAGAGAGAGAGAGAGAGTTTGTACACGTAGTAACAAACTCAAATTAGAATTAAAAGAAGGTTAGCAGAAAAAAGAAAACTTTTTGTTCTCTTTTGCACTTAATGTACAGTGTGGGCTTAGATTAGAAGAAGAGGAGCAACAAAACTACACCAGATTAAATCATCAACAGCCACAATTCATAATTCAAAATTACTTATTTGCAGATGAATTGACACATCCAGATAATAAGGCCAGGGTCTTGGTGTGAATAGTTGGATAAGTTTAATGTTTCTGAGACCCTTCATCTTTTAAACAGAAAAACAAGAAGAATGGAACAAGAAGATCTTGGAATAAGGTGGTCTTGAAATCAGCTCTATGTAATTTCCAAAATCCAAACAGCATGTGGAACATAACTAGACATACTCAGATTAGATATCTCACATTCAAGGAATGCATGGCTGCCATTGCTGATGGATGATCTATAAAAGTAGCAAAAGCAACAACCTGCATAATGGGAGAGGAAGATTAGAAGTAGGATTGTAAATCTAAACGGATTGGCGCCAGTGTCGGAGCCAGGAATGCAAAGTGACTCAAAATAAATACTAGAACAATCACATTTGGATTTAAAACGTGACTCAAATAAATACTAGAACAGCCACGATTGGATTTAAAACCATGACAAGCAAATTCCGAACATCCTTTACCATTACACTAGAATCTTTCCTTATGTCAAGAGAATTCAACAACTTATATATAACTAATTCGTTGCTGCCCTATTAGCACAGTATAATTTTACGGCGAAGGGGATTCAATGAAATCCCTAGCCTCCACTTAGCTCCACCTTTGAGTGGCGCATGGATACTACAATAGATGAAAAAAGCATCTTGTCTTTCACTACCAATTCCTTCATTTTCAAACTGAAAGCTTCAGAGGAGAATAAATTTTAGACATAGATCATGTTGTCTTCAGAATAACTAACAAATAACTATTTACTTTCCCCTTCTAAGAGTCTCTTTTGTATGTGGAAGAAGCTAAAGTGAAAATGACCTTTGCCTATTTCTGTCTGCATTGCGTATCAAATTCTTTGCAGACGAATGATTATTTCTAATAACAAGTACCTATTTTATTTCTAATCAGTACAGTTTCAGGAAGTGAAACCCTTAATTATTTCTAATAACAAGTAAAAATCTTTCTGTCTCCAAAATTTAAGTAATAACAGTAACCTGTCAAAACTTCAAAAATTTAATCCTAAACGTTTCTGAACTTCATAAAACTTCACTCGCCGCCATGTGAATAACTGCTTCAGCTGCAATTCCAATTCTACTGTTTTCAGTTTTAAAAAATCAACTTCTTATAAGCAAGTCTGTTACCGAGTGTGAATGAACACTAACGCTGAATGCAGACAATCGGACCGGTGATTGTGCTTTCAACTAACCACAATTATTCATATAGGGGACCAAAAATTCCTTTCCCGGAGAACTTAATAGCTTCGTAATATATTAGCATCTAAATTCGGCGGAAAGTTAGGAGAGAGAGAGAGAGAGAGAGAGGATACCTGATCCCCTCGACCGGTGTACTTAAGCTGACAGGATTCAAAACCAAGACGGCGGCGGAAGAGATTGTGAATTTCACGAGCTTTAACATCGTCGGGAAGTCCGGATACGAACAGTGTTTTTATATCGTTCTGCTCCTTGTTATACCCATACACTGGTGCTGTTACGTAGTAAGGATCGTACGCCGGGAGGTGAGCCATCTTCACGGCGGCGGCGGCGGCGGCGGGTTTCGGTAGAGGAGATGGTTGAAAGGGCGTTCGACTGGCAATTGCAATTTTCAATCGTCTATAGTTTTCAGATTCTTTTTCTTTTTTTACCACGGTAAAACACGCTATACTCACCTGCATTTCATAGCAGGTACAACTCCTTCAGCACGGCGCACAAATAAGAATGTTATGTTGTCTGAAATCCTTAAGAAAAGAAAATATATAATCGCATGAGTAAGAAATCACTGTTTCGAATTACAATTATCCTCACTTATTCTGACGTGTCCGTTTTTTCTCAGTTTGTGCTGATCTGATTAAAGTGATGCAGGTGTTAAAGTTACAATAGCAGATTAGCAGTAGCTATTTTTTTTTATCAAGTTACTAATTACTCTCCCCGTATCAATGTGTGATTGGATATATAAAAAAAATTTAAAAAAGGAGAAGATTTTTGACGCATACCAAAGATAATTATGATTCATGTCTTAACATTTAAATAGCTACATGATCATTTTAGTACGAATAAAACATGATCTTTAAAGTTAATGAATTTATAAATATTTTCTGTGATACTATTTTCTTATTAGTTTTTTTTATTTAAAAATACTCCGTATTATATTACAATGTATTTGAAATACGTAATATCTTATCTATAATAACGTACTTTTATTGCCAAAAAAATCTACATGCTTAGAAAAGTGAAAAATAAGAAAAAACTTCCAAGAAAAAAATAAAGAAACTTTTGTTTGACCAAAAAATATATAGATCTTGATTCAACTATTTAAATTTATATTAATGAGGGTTAATCTTAGTTAACAATAATATCCCTAGGATAGAATTCACGGAAGTGCAATAAATGATAGGCAAATATACTTTCAATAGCAACGGCGGCACACAATCAATATTTAAGAAGTCAAAGTAAGCAATATAGCATTAAATATTGATGAACATCAATACGCTTATGTAAATAAGACTGATGAGTCACCCAATAAAGGATGAAATCAGCGAATGTTCCTTCTTACAATGATAAATGAAGGATAAGTCTTTGAACATATGAGTTATTCTCGGATCCAGAGGAAAAGCGTGGACAAGAATCTTAATGAAGAGGTTGTTTTTGTGTATTTGCATTAAGATATGATTCTCTCTTTTAAAGTCAAAGTGTATTTTACAAATGAATATTCCATGTCCCCTATCATTATGTCTCTTTCTATTTACAAGGAACATGTTCTTAAAACGGCAAAGGGCCAAATATACTTCTGTATTTTCAAAAATTGTCTAAAAATACCACTCATTATACTATTAGGTTATCTATACCCCTCCCGTCATACTTTGGAATAAAAATACCTTTATTTTGGATGGAGTGTCACGTGGCAGCACCAGATGAAAACGACTCATTTCATTTTTTTTACCTGATTCGTTTTAAAAAACCCACCACCCGACCCAACTTTCACCCAAAGGCTAAATTTAGCATCTTTTGATCTAAAGCAATTTTTTTTGTAAAAACTGGAAAAAAAATGCTTTAATTTTTTTTTTCCAGTTTTTTTAAAGCATTTTCTTTTGTAAAAACTGAAAAAAAAATAATTTTGCAAAATATTTTTGTTTTTTTAAAAACAAATGCACCTGTAATCCACTGCTTTAGGAAAGCCTTTTTTTTTTCAGTTTTTACAAACATAAAAAAATGCTTTAAAAATAAAACCGAAAAATATTTTTTTAAAGCATTTTTTTCTAGTTTTTACAAAATAATTGCTTTAGATCAAAAGATGCTAAATTTAGCCTTGGGTGAAAATTGGGTTGGGTGGTGATTTTTTTAAAACGGACCGGATAAAAAAAGAAACGGGTCATTTTCATCTGTTGCTGCCACATGGCACTCCATCCAAAATAAGGGTATTTTTGTTCCAAAATATTACGGGAGGGGTATAGATAATTCAATAGTATAACGAGAGATATTCTTAGACTATTTTCGAAAGTACATGGATATGTTTGGCCCTTTGCCGTTCTTAAAAACTCTAATAGTACAAATGCAGAGAATATCTAATGGAATATTCTCTTTAATGTTCTATCTCGAAACTAGCTGTTATTACTCTATGAAGGGTACTCGACCTCGATGACATAACCTCGACTTCAGTCTTTGCTGATTCTTCGGCCACGACCTTTGTGATTAATTTTATTACTTCGACACGTAGCGTCCCGATAATATTTTTCTAATACCATTTCGACTAAAGATATATTTTCACCAATACAACTTCATCAAACTTATTTTTGCGGTTTTACACTTTTTGAATGTTTAATTTGGATGAGACTCTTTTCGAGGAAGGTAATGGTAGTAATTTATGGCTGCTACACGTAATTAATAATGCCCCAATTTGGACGAAGAAGGATCGCGAAAGTACACGCTTGCCATGTCCCCAAAATTATTTCTGCCGACACTAATTAATTAAACACAACACGCATTGCATAAGTACAAAAAAATCACCACTAACAACAAGGTAACCACCATTCAATTATGATGAAATTCAACGAGGAATAAACAAAGTTTATGGTGATAAAAATACAACAATCAATCGAAAATGTTACCGGAAATAAATAAATTAAAAAACGAAAAAAAGAAGGAAAAAGAAACTACATTGGTTCACACACAAACACAGCAAACTAAGACGACGGAGGAGCTCTTAAGAACCCAGCAGCTTCTTCATCCATGAATAAATCATCAGTCTTCCTTATCGAAGCATGAATCAACACCACAACCACGGCCACCGCTAGCGAAATCAAAATATTCGAAGTGGCATTAGTAAACAGGAGCATAGCGATAGTAAAAACAGAGAGCACAATCAGAACCACACGATCAGAAATCAGACGGCCAAAAATCACCAACGGCTCATCACGGAGAAAATACAAAAACAACCAAATGGCCATCAGAACTATGAACACGATAAGCGAGATCGTGTGCCAGAGGAGGCTTAAGAAGACGATTCCGAGCACTATGATGGCGTAGTTCATCTGGAAGTAGGAGATATTGGTTTTAATTCGTGAAATTGCATCGTTGACTCCAGATGGAAGATTGAGGGAGTGGAAATTGAACATCTCCTTCCATGGACGGCGAGTACCTAATCCTTCCTTTATACGCTCTTTTGCCCTGGAGATGTACTCCACGTTTGCCGGACCTGAAGAGGACGTCGGTATTGTGCCGTAATTCGTCATTTTTTTCGCCGGCGAATAGTCTTCTTTTACTGTTTTGAAATGGAAGCTAAAAGAGGACGGAGTGAATGAGGGGCGTGTTATTTAATGTTGAATTGTTTTATATTGGTCCAAACAAAGTCTGAAAATATCAAGTCGACTTTACATAAAGCTAAGCGACACGTGGCAGTTGATAGCTGACTCCGACGCATCCTTTACACGAAGTTTCTTTCCTTCTTGTTTTCTTTTTTCCTTTCACAAATTTCATTTGACAAACTCTTTTTAATAAGATGGTTGAAATTTCAACTATGTCACATCCAATCATACCTTTCATTTTATTTTTCGCATATTAGGGGCTAGGTGTCAAATTGAACAGCAATAGTTCAAATGGTTGCTAGTATGAACAAGTAACATTTTAGTTTAAATAGTGATTTTTTAACTAATAGTAGTACATATTTGGCGACCACCTTTGTTGATTACGCCAACTACTTTCTTTGTTTATCTGATTAGTCTAATCAAAAGGTTAACATTTTAACACAACAAAAAGGGGAGTGCCTTTTAAATTAACTTTATAGATGGCATAAGAGCAAAAACAATTCAATCTTGAGCAAGTAAGAACACAGTTTGAACTAATATGATGATTGGATAAGTGGTTTTCATTAGGGAGATTCATGGAAGGATTTAAGAGAGACAGCACGGGCGCAAGGTTAATCCATTTATTTGTAATCCACTCAATCCGCTCAACCTTAAACACATGGTCAATTATGACTCGTTTATTAACTTGACTTAACGTATTGAACCAGAAATGACCGGTCAAAATATCAAGTCAAAGTGAGTCATGTATAGGTCGAAATCTGCCCTAAACTATTTAGGGTAATATAGCACTAAGGAATATGTCAGTCGAGATTGATCAGGAAATAGCGAGGTTTGTGGTTGAGATGTCTACAATGGGCTAGATCGAACACCATTTGCAGAGTTGTAACGGCTAGTTTTCAAAATGGGATATTAAAGACAATATTCTGGTGGATATTCTTTTCACTTGTAATATTAGGATGTGTTAGGGGTATGTCTCATATATATAGAAAAAGAGACAGTGATGTAAGGCAGGTGACATTCATTTGATAAGAATAGACTTTTGAAAAAAGATTCTCTCTTTTATAAAGATACAAACACTACCTTTTCATCAAGATTCTTGTTCATATTATTCCACACTTGTCACGACCCAAATCCGCGTGACCGGCACCCGACATGCTACCCGACCCGAGTGAACCAACCTATATGTCAAGACCAAGTATAATTACAGAAGCCAATTGAAAATCTTATACATTTTAAAATCAAGTCACAACATATTTTTCATTTCCAAAATCATACATAAAACTTTTCATAAAAATGATATAATCAAATTAAATAATTATTCCTTCATGCATGATGTCCACAATCCTATTTTTTTATAATCCAACACAACTATCTATGGAGCCTCTATACCAAAGAACAGAACCAACACTTGGAGTAATTCCAACAAAAGAAAATTAGAATATACATGATAGCTACCACGAAATAAAAGTGGTGCTTCATAATACCTCGGAAAGAGAGTCATCCTAGCCTGACCGCATGTCACGTATCATACATCATCCTGAAATATGTAAAGTAAGCAGAGCCCTAGAGGGGCCCCTTAAGGACTGAGTACACCACAACAGTACTCAATAAGTGTCATAGACTCTCTCTAACTTAAGTTTTTGGGACAAACTTTATAAAAATAATGCACCAATATTTCATATAAATGATAAAAAATTTTATCAATTCATGACCCTTGTTATTTCAAATAACAACAAAGTGAAATATAACCCACAATATAAACTTTTAAAACATTTACATCAATCCAAGATTTTGGATAAAATCATACAAAATTATTCCATTTGCTTTAAGTAATCGAAATCACTTTCGGCTCCTTAGGCCTAAACATAAGAAAATCATCCTTACCTTTCACTGGGAGTACTATACCATCACCGACATAA